AAAAGTATCAGTGTATTGGATAAAGCAAAAGAGGTATTCGAAAAGTTTGACAGAAAATCAAATACAACCCATTATACTATAACCTCCATGCTTAATCGTTGCTTAAGTCATTCTCTAGTCAAGTGGGCAGCATTTGGGTTCATTTTTTTTGCCGGCACTGTATGCATGCATATTGATATGCTGTTTCATTATTCGGAATTCCTTTACGACTGCAAATTCAAATATTGTTGACTATGCAAAGGAATTTGTGTTTTGGCATTGCCAATCAACAAACAGCAAGCAGAAATATTTTGGATAGGTATTCCACACTTGTGTGTCGCCCTGCACAGCTCTATTCCATTGCTAATTTTCTGTGAAATGTGCGTTCCATTGATTTTTATATATGTACATATCTACAAGGATACATACGGTATAAATGTATATAAATATTTTGCTGCATTCGTTGAACTGGCTACTGGAGTTTGTGTAATTGACGCCGGGCACGAGCATCACTTTGGCATTTGTGCAATGTGTGCATCGCATTGTGAACTGTGCAGCAGTATAAAAACTTGATTAGAGCTCCGCTCAGCTTAGCTCTGCAAATGGAACGGGTTGCGCCAATTACTATTCGCGTGCCCCGTGCCCCGTGCCCCGTGCATCGTACACCGTGCCCCAAAAACGTTGGACAAAGGCACATGGTTGAACAAATTCTACGCTTTGTGGCCAAATTAGCAGCACGAGAAAACAAAGCACTGCGAATGTGAATGCAAAATGTGAGTCCGAATCCGAATGCAAATGCAATGCCAGGCGAGGCGAGGCGAGGCGAACGATAAACGTGTTGCAAGCTGACAACGCATCGATTGGCCCCTAAACGGAGGCAGCGGAGGCACTTGCCACATTAGCCGTTCTCTTCTGGTCATTACCTCGCTTTTTGTTGCCGCCCAGACAAAAGATCGCCTGTAGTTATTTTTTGTTATTTCTTTTTATCGCGTTCTGACAAACAATAAAATCACTTTTCAATTGCCGCCGTTTTGGGTTCATATGCATTCAAGTTAGCAAAACTTGGTCAAGTCTTTGCCTTCAGTGACAATTTTAGAAATGTCGCTGCGAACTCGAAGTTGTAGATAAAATCTTCAAGTGTCACGGTTAGATAGTTTAAGTAGATAACTTTTTGAATTATAGATTTTGCTTAGCAATGAAAACTGAATTGTCAGAGTAATGAATGTCTTTAAGTATGTATATATATATACTCGTATATAATCATTCAAATTAGTTAAGCAGTCTATTTAGAGTCGACAATTGCAAATGATTTGTCAACTGCTTTAAGATAATGCTTGGGCAACCATGAAATTCAATTTCTAGCCAAGAAAAAGCTATTGTACGATGTGTGAGCTATAAAAAACTAAGCTGGTCGGCTTATCTTTGTATCTATTTTGGTTTCTTTTTGGGCTTCACTTCAAACTTTGCTTATCGATGCAAATCGATCATCAAAATTTACGAGACATTGCCCAAAGTGCGTCATAAAAATGCGTTCGGAAACTAATTAAGTACATAAAATGCGGATTAACGGCTTTCAAAGTGCCGTAAAATTCGTTGGCGCAACAATTAGCCAGAGTCCTAAGGATGTGAGTGCAATGCAATGTGGAATGCGAATATGTTGTCGGCCATAAAAACAAAAACGAGACTTGAACTCCCCAATGGGGAATTGGAGTTGGCAATGAAAACCATTGCAAAGTCGTTAAAAGAAACCAAAGTTGTGTGTAATCGGAATTGTTAACGTTTCTATACACTTCTTCCGACAGAACGAGGCAAATAATTTCTATGCATTTTTTATAAAAATGAATTTAGGAAATGCTCAAAGCCAAAAATATTGTTTATGTAGAAAACAAAGTATAGTTTTTATATATGTCAAACTTGATGGCAAATTTGCGTTGGCTATTTGGAAGGGCATCAATATTAGGCGGAAATGGTGAGGCAATGGAAATTCGCCATTCGAAAACTTTTTAATTTAATGCATCATCGTAAAAATTGGATACTTTGTGAGTGAGTCGGCTGTAAAAATAGTTTCATTTTGGTTCTCTGAGTCCCGTTTGGACTCTTGTCTTGTCTCGTCACCCAACCAGTCTTTCCCTCTTGGCCCGCATCACGGACTGTCAAATGCTGGCCAAATCTGACCTAATAAGCCAGTTGGCGAAAAGTTTGCGTTTCAGTTTCGGTTTCTGTTTCTGTTTCTGTTTCAGTTTCAGTTGCAGCCTCAACTTTGAACTCTCGCTGCGCGAAGAGGATTAGGCCGGGCTAAGCCCGTCGCGTGACCGTTGTTTCAATTAAAATAAATTAAATGCGGCGCAAGCGGTCGCAAATGTCAAAACTGTTTGCGGCTCAATTAGCCGCACTGTCAAAATGTTGGTGTACAGCTGCTGAGAGAGTGCGTCTTTTGACAGCATGGCATGATGAACTGTAAATTGGATGCGGCTGTCGCCTACACACTGCAATGGGAGAGAGGGGATTGCGGTGTAGGGGATTAGAGCAGTCGTTGCCAGCAGCGACAAGTCAAAACGTCTGTTTATATGATGATGAAAGCTGCCCAAAACATGCCATAGAAATTCGCAATGAAAATCCAAGTCGCTACCCCTTCTACTCCACTGCGCCTCCAGCTCCAATAGCTCTATCCAGCTGTGCGGTGCCTTAAGCAAGCTTAAAAGTTGCTCAGCGAAAGTTTTACTGCCAATAAGCAGTAAAGCAAAGGATTTGTCAGATTTTAGAACAATAATGCTAAGCAGCAGTGTAAATAAAATAAAGTGTGCGACACGTTAACTTAAATAAAATAAAATCAAATTGCAAGACACACACTTACCTTTTTGTTGAATTTCGTTATTATTATTATTATTATTACTGTTGCTGTTGCTGTTGTTTTCTTTTGTTTTATTTATTTATTTTTGGTATTATCTTAAGGTTTGGCAGCTGCTTTAGCCAAACAATAACAAAAACGTTTTTGAGCGTGTTAATGTGGGAGTTTATGAAAGCTGCTTTTGCTGAGAATTGCCGGATATAAATAAATCTTTAACTAATGCGTAAATAATACTTATTCCTGGAAATAACTTAATAAGTGAAAGGCCTTTTTATGTAAAAAGTTGATTTGCTTAAAACGAAAGTTTTTGCCTTCTTAAAAACAATGGTTTTATTTTTTGTATTTAATTTATACCTTTTCGAGATTAATTTCATAAGAAAATAAATCTTTTTTTAAAAATAGAAAAGAAGACATTTAAATTTAAGGAATTTTTTTGGTATATTTATAGCCACATAGGTACCAGAAAACCTTAATTGTTTTCAGGGAGATTTTAGTTTGAAGAAATTTTCTTAATTTAAAGCCTATTTTTATGTGTGAGTGTAGCCACCCACAACATTCCACTGGTGCAACAAACCGACTTCAACTGTTTGATTACGGTTTATAAAAGCGATTACTTTCAATTAAGCCAGGCTCTAATGAGCAGCCATGCGGCAGACAACACAGCTCCAATAAAAACACAACGCCTACGAACAATTTTGAAGCAAGTGCAGCCTAAAGAGAGAGTGAGAAGGAGAGAGAGAGAGAGCGAGAGAGAGCGAGAGAGAGAGACAGAAGGAAGATTGTGACTTTTGGCGCCAATGTGAAAAACATGACATTTTAATTGGCACCAACAGCAACGGCTGCAAAATCAGCGAGCCTCAGCCAAATTATCCAAAGAGCAAATCAAACGGATTTCTTTCTAATTAAACGACTATTTAGAGAGAGTGAGAGAGAGAGACAGAGAGAGACAGAGAGAGAGAGAGAGAGAGAGAGAGACAGAGAGAGACAGAGAGAGAGAGAGAGAGAGACAGAGACAGAAAATATGGTTACAATGTGACGTCAATTGGCAGTGATCTAAATTTATGCAAATTGGCAGCTGCTGGCATCTGTCTCAGTGTCCACTGTACTGTGGTATCTGGCTAACTGGGGGGCTATGCGTGCGCCACGTTTGTTCACATATTTCATGTTGCACGCGCCTCCAGTTCGCAGTTCGTTTGCCCTTTTAATAGCCCTGCCAGAGAGCAGCAAAGCCATTCATTTGACTGCAGCTGGAAACTGAAACTGAGGAACAGCAGCCGAAACGGCAAACAGAATAAGAGACAGAAACAGGAGCAGTTGTTGCAAGTTGCCAGTTGCCAGTTGGCAGTTTGGCTGATTATTAAATCACAAGGCGAACTGCAGTCGCGGCAATCTGATATGCAAAATCACAACTAGTTTAGCCAAGAGCGTTGCTTTAAAGTCGCATCGCGGAAAAAGGCAGTTGCAGAACTCAGTTGGATGCTGCGGCTAGAGAGAAAAGAACGGATTGCACCAACTTTCTTAAATTCTTCTGAAATCTATTTCCTTAACCCAGAAACAAACTTGATGATTAAGGCATATTCTGACTGTCGTTTTCCGACATTTGGGAGCATATTTTTCTCAGAGTGTATTCACCTTCTCTGGAGTTGCGTTAATTACAGCTCTGTCTAGCCGTGAAACTCTCTGGCAAACGGGCAACTTGTTAAAAAATTTCCGCTGGCAGTTTATTAGAGGGCCAGGCATTACAGCTCTTCCCTCGCTGACTTGGCAATTAATTGGAGCTTAGTTGCAGCTGAACCTGTTTTAATAAGAGTGAGTCTGAAGATGACGCCAAGTGAAGTGCCAGATTTGGGCTTGGACTGCAAATTAGCTGAGTTCTCTGCTAGCGGAAAGTCTGCAAATGCAACAAAGTCGACTATATCATGGCCAGCAGACATGGTTAAAAAAATAGTAATGATAATAAGTAGTTGTTTTGTCAACTGATTTAATAACTAAATAAAAAAAAGATAACTTTCTTATCTGCAAGAGAGACTTGAAACTTGAAATCTCAATTAATGAAAGCTCAAAATGCTTAAGACTTAGAAATCGTTTACCGGATAGACTTGATTTATACTTCAATTTAAGTTTTATTGGACTCAACTGGCCTTATAAATTGGTCAAAAAATTAGTTAGTATTTGAAATCCTTTAGCAATGGCCTTGGAAGCGATATGCGGCATGAATAAGCTGCCGTTCATGCAACGCTTTGATGCACTGCAAAAGGAGTGGCAAGTGCTGCAGATACAAAGAGCCACTAGCAACATGACAAATCCTTACGCGCTGATGGCACCACCCTTTGAAAATGTAATAAGTGTGTAATTAAAAATATATTTATATAACCTTGTCTGCAGCCAGCTGTGAATCTGGTCAAGATACTGAGGCACTGCAAGCTGCGGATGGAGCTTGAGCATGGGACGACAACGTTGGGCTTCAAGTATCAGGGCGGAGTCGTGCTCTGTGCCGATTCGCGTGCCACTTCCGGCCAGTATATTGGCTCGCAGACGATGCGAAAAATTGTCGAGCTGAATAATTATATGTTGGGCACGTTGGCTGGCGGTGCTGCCGATTGTGTCTATTGGGATCGGGTGCTGGCCAGAGAGTGCCGACTCCATGAATTGCGCTACAAGCGACGCATCATGGTGGATGCCGCTGCGCGCATGATGTGCAACATTTGTGCCGAGTACAAGGGCATGGGCCTCGTCATGGGCATGATGCTGGCCGGCTGTGATGATGAGGGCTGCAAGTTAATCTATGTGGACTCGGAGGGTATGCGTTCGCATGGCAGCGTCTTCTCAGTGGGCAGTGGTTCGACGTACGCCTTGGGCGTACTGGACACGGGCTATCGCTGGGATCTAACGGATGAGGAGGCTTATGATTTGGCACGTCGTGCCATATACCATGCCACCAGAAAGGATGCCTATTCGGGCGGCATTGTGCGACTGTATCATATCAACAACAAGGGATGGCGAAACATTTGCAATACGGACTGCAACGATCTGCATGACATATTTTGCATGGACTCGCAGAGTGATGAGATGATCCCTCAAATGCCTTGCACGAGCAGGGATTGGATTTCCCAGAAGCTGAGGGTGGATAGTGTGCAGGCTCAGGTGGCAGCTGCCAACAGGGAGAAGGCACAAAAGGTCTAAAGGATTATGACAAAATTTAATGTGGTATTTTCATTTAAATCAATAAACAAGATTGAAAAAGACTCTGCAGTTTGCTTTAACTTTTCCCAATCTATTTACTCTCTATTTGGGTACACCATATCATTACTTACTGCCTCAAAATACGAGTGTAGCTTAATCCACTTCACGAAGCTGCTGCTCCTACAAAATTGAGATAACCCCTTGGTGCACTTTTTATCTGGACTTTAAGCGGCACATTTTCTCACTCTCAAGTAGTAGGATACCAATGGGCGACTTTGGCTTAAGTAATTTCCTAATGAAAACCGCAGAGGAAAAATGAGTTTGGCGTCGGTGGTCGTTTGTTGTGCCACCTACGAAGAACACACTCGCCTACTCATTCTTTAGCGGTGTTCATTAGATTAAAAGCAATTTACTGTGAAACTTTGGCCCACAAAATGCAAACATCTCCCCTCTACAGGGTCCCCCATTTCCCCCTTCCTAAATGCAGCGGCTGTCTCACACATGTTCCCCAAACGCCGTGCAAACTGTCGCCACTGCCATTTTGGCAAGCAGCGCGAAGCCAACTGGCTTTTTTCTACTTCTTATTTTTATTTTGGAATTCAACAAATTTGCGGATTTGGTTTGTAATTTATTTAATTTATCGCATGCTACGAGAAATAAGTGTTGCCTCCTGCTCCACACCACCCCCCGCAGCCATTATACATGCCCCATCTATTGTGGTTGTGCGCCTCCCATTGCTAGCTGCAACATTTGTTGATGACAACCCAAAAAGACACGAACACACACCGAATGCAGAAAATACCATTGCCATTAAAAATATAGGGATAGATAGAGAGAGAGGAGGAGGAGCTGAGAGTTGCTGCACGTTGTTTTAGCCCAGCTTAGAAGATATTATTTTGATTTATAGATAAAGTTCGTTAGCTAGCGAAAGTTGGTCGTATATATCTCTACATGTGTATGTACATGCATAAATATATATGTATTGTCAGTGAGGATGTTTGTCCTCTGCTGTTATTGCAGTCGTTTTGCGCTAAAAGTTGAGATATTGTTTCATGCATTGATGTCGCCCAACACACAACACCCAAAACACAACAAGCTGTTTGCTTGACTCGACTCGACTCGACTCGCCAGTTGTAATTAAAGAACAAGCTCCACAACATGTTTCCACAATTTTATTGCTGCAAAAACATTAAAAGGCCAATTCATTTAAGCGCTCTGAAAACCCAATGAAAAACATTAAATACAAAGTAAAGTTATGTTTAACTTATTCTCTTTATATTCGTAATCTATCTACAGAGAGATAATCATTAGCACCCAGTTGTATATACATATTAATATATAAAAAAAAATGCCAAAACCGTCTTGAATCGATTTATTCGAGGCTTTTGAGATCAAGCGTGTAATTTTGCATTTGTATCTTGTTATTATCATTCAAAAGTTTTGATTTTTCCTATACTGAAATATCAAAGTTTAAGTTCAAATTACAGCTCTGAATACTTGATTTTAATTATCTTTATGTGTTATTCCATCAAATTTTTATTTAAAACTCCAAAATCTAAAAGTGAAAATAATACAAAACACTAAAACAAAAATAAGATAAACGCATGATTAAAATTAGAAACAAATATAAACTCCAACGAAATGTTTAACTAAACTAAACTAAACTAAATGAAAACTTGAAACTAACTATAAGTAAATAGACGCAATTCTAGCTCTAAGTCTGCGATGCCGATGTCGATCTTCACGCCGATCCCTGGCCAGAGTCCACCAGTTGCTTTTGTGGCTGCTCAGCTGATGACAAGTGGAGACTTTTATGGAGGAGGCACGTGCCTTGAGGCGCAGATTGTTGTCGTTGGTCAGCAGCATCATGTGAGTTAGCTGCTGCTTCAGTTGCAGGCAACAGTTGATAATGCTATCATCGGCACTATCTATATCGATCAGTTGCTCTGCATCTTCCAGGGCCGATTGCGCCTCGATTTTATCGAGATCATCGAACTTACCATTCAGATATTCGATGGCTCGTCTGGCGGCAAAGCTTGTCAACTGTTTGCACTTTAATATATCCAGTTCCTTGATCACCATATAGGGCACATATAATATGCTGCCCGCAGTGCCAAGGAGCCTCGAATTGGCTACATCCCTCATTAGGTGGAGACTCTCGATCAGCACATTGGTATCCAGCACAAAGTACATATGATCTAGCTCATATTTTCTGAGTATTTTCTGATCGCTTTGATTCTCCTTCGACTTCTGCTGCTCGATGAGATTCTTTGATTTTCCATGCTCAACTTTGGCAACACTTTTCTGCTTATTCAAATTCACCGTTACTTTTAGTGTTTCATTGGATTTGCTTGCTTGTGGAAAATTAAAAAGGAAATTCTTTAACAGTTCTTCGCAGTTTTTCGTCGTTTCCGTTTCGCTGCACTTTTCTGGAGCTGGGACTAAATCGAGCTCTATTTTTTGTAAAACCTTCTTACATTCTGTGCGCTGTCCAAATCGCTTCGTCCTTGGGTGGCACATATCCTGATCAAGTTTACGACCATCTACAATATTATTATCGATACACAGACGCTTTCTGCGCACATCATTTGCATTTCGCTTTTGCGCGTTTAATTTTTGTGTTTTAAACAATAAAATTAGTTCATTTAGTTGCTCCTCAAAATGTTGAGTAGTTTTTCCGTATTTTCCAGTCATTTTTCTATTGTGAAAGTGCTTGAAATGATCTTAAACGAAATAAAGCTTAAAGATTTAAAGCAAATGCTTGCTGTATGAATTCAAGTTTTATATTGTAAATTGCATTTTCTGTCGTAAATTCAAATGCAAATTAAATTTCAGTTCTACGCTGTGAAATTTACAACATGTGTCAATTACACACGACATCACTTATGCATATTGTGTATAACTCTACACTTGGAAAAAAATCGGACAATTTTTAAAATCGCCTTTAAATGAAAATCATTCTGCAGACAACTAAATACATTCTAAGTTTTATAAATTGAACCTGATAGAACAAGACTAGTTTGTGTTTCAGTTCGTTTCAGTTAGCATTTTCTTTTCTGAGTGTAGAAACTATTGCAGTTGACTGACAAGCTGCCACATTCACTTCGCCACTTTCGCTCCCCCTTGCTGCCCCATTCGCTTATTCATCTGTTCTACTCCAATTTCAGCATGCTACAAAATTTGCATAAAATAATAATGCACAAGGACAACAACAACGTTGACGGCATATTAATTGCGGCTATCATTTCCACAAAATTAGCTAGCTTCCACAGAAAAATGCCCCATAGCTGCACCATCATGCTGCTGCATGCCACATGCCCCACACGTTTTTTATTTTTGCATTTTCGCCCACTGCTTCTCGGTTAATATGCGCTTAAAAAGCATGCGACGATAACAAAAACTATAATTTAAATTAATTTGCAAATGCAACAACAACAACAGCGACAACAACAATAGTTCGGCACCTGCAACGCTGTTGTTGTTGTTGTTGTTGTTTTTGTTGCCATTCCACTTTTGTCAACGAGCTCAAATTCAATGAAATTTCACACTTTGTCGTTAAAAGCCGCGCCGCTTGCCATCCAAATGGGGGAAACTGGAAAACGTGGAAGGTGGCTTAGAGGATTGAGGGGGAGGGTGAGTGGTAGCGGGGCGTGAGGGGTGTGGCATGGGAGACAGAGGCAGTTAACTGGCAGGCATAAGGATGCAAATATGCAAATGGATTTTGTCAAGCGAACACTGTGGCAAGCATGCAATGATATAATGTAAGGGCAGAGCGAGAGGACGAGGGGCAGAGCGAGTTAAGAGGTAGCGAGAGGGATGGGCTGGGGCGAGGGGGAGGGGGAGGCAGAGTAGTGTTGTGAGTTGAGAGTGTTTGACAAGCGAGCGTGACTGCTGAGCTGGGAGCTGGTAGCTGGCAGCTTGGATGATGTGCAGCTGGCAGACGGCATCTTCATTTAGCTTCACGCCAATGACTGCCCGGCTGCATTTATGTGTGTGTGTGTGTGTATGAATGTTGTAACACCTGTAATACCCTGTGGCAAATTACACGTGAGATTCTAATAAGTATTAGTATAAATCTTAATCTTAATCTGTAGTACAACTCTTAAGTTCAAACTGTGATTTATTGTATTCAGTTTCGATGAGGTCGTAAGAGCTTTGAAGTTTATGGGAAACCATTTTTGGGAACTTGATAACTTGATAACACAACGTCAGGTCAGTATTTTCGTCTATCCGACTGCCCTCAGTTTTGCACAAGTAGAACTTACTCAGTTTTACAACGAACTTGCCGAAACTGGGCATATGTCAGTCTTATTGGGCTACTATATTATATATCTGAAGAATCGGTCGAAAGATGCGTTTTAAGTTGACTAAAATTTAGACATCGGCAGCTTAACTCTGTTTTGTGTTTAGATCCAGTTAGGGTTTAAAAACTAGCAAAGAGATTTACTTCAGAGTAAGTTTGTTTCAGCGACATCCAAGCAAAGATGCACTGCAATCGAATATTTCAGGGTATCAAAAGGTCGAGGTCGAGTTAGAAAAGGTATTACTAGACACTAATCTAGCTTCAACTCAAAATGCAACATGCAGACAGATGCATAGCAATCAAAATGTACAGGATATCACCAATTCGATCAGTTGCTTTGTGTACATGTATTTCGTTGCTGTTGTCCATGTTTTTGTTTACCACTGCCAAGGAACACGTTCGACTATGCTCCTATGAGGCACAAGCGGGAGGAGCTGGGCGGTTAGAGGAAAGGAAATGACTATGGGAACTGCGGACGATGCCTCCTTTGGCATTTTCATTAACAGAGGCGAGACGAAGACGCAAGGGAAGGCGATGATGATGACAACAAATGCAAATGCAGCGCCAGGGCAGCCGGGAAGATGAAGATGAAGACACGCGCCTCCCTAACAACAACAACAACAGCAGCAACAACAACAAACGGCAACAAGCAATGGCCACATTAGCGACTGAAGCGACGACAACAAACGGCGTCAGCCACATTACACAAGTACACTGAGCAAAAAAGCGCAACCTGCTATCGAGAAAGTATATTCCAAA